CATTATTAACATTATTCGGAGTATTGTCTCCATATTTATTACAATGTTTCGGCCGTTGTACACTCCGGACTTCTTCAGGTGGTTGGAATGGATGTCAGTTATCAGTTATCTCCTATTAATTTCCCTCTGAAAGTTCTCCACTGCCTTAACCGGCTATTGAATTCACACTCTTTGGGTCCCGTCACTGGATCTAACTAATGCCTTTATCTATTGTACCATATGTCCTTGTCTGTGTATGAATTTCTGGATATTATAAACCTAATGTCTTCAGCAATCAAATTGCAATTTTTTCTGTTATCATTACATTTTTTTTTTTTTACCAGAGCTCATATTGCAATTTGTGTTGTTATTATTGCTTTTCTCTGGCACTCCTTATAACTGGTTCTCATATTGTATTCATTTCTATGCTTGGTTGGCTCAGGAGACTTTTGTCGCCTAGCATATGTGCTGATTCCTTAAGTTTACAAATTTTCCAATGGTGTTCTTTGTCTATGATCTCAACCTATTTTTTGTGCTCTTTTTTTTTACTTATATGCAAATAAGAAAAATTTAATTTTCTATAGTGGAGGAATGACCAAACAGGCCACAGAGTAATCAAAAATTTCTATTATTTTCTGTTTCCAAACAGTAAATTATATTTATTATTTTTTAAATCTTATTTCATTCATCTCAAATTTAGTTTGTTTTTATTTCAACTCTCAAATTGCCATTGCACTCATCCAGCTTGCGCCAAAACTGTTCGCAAGACTCAAACTTGCATCCATTTTCATGATAGCTGCTTTCTCGATTAGCCTACTGAGAACATTCTGGCTGCCACCAATCAAATCTAACTACATTCTCCCTGCCTGCCTGATACATCACCAACTATTTCCTTTAACATACATGCTGACATTAGGATGAAGGAAATACTAGTTGAAGAAATAATAATAATTGATAAACCTTCATCTAAGGTTGTCTGTTGTTGATTTAGGGGTCTTACTTTGATAAGACTTGGTCTCTGTCCTGACAACTGATTATGTTATACTATCACAGATTATGCTTAAAAAAGAGCTATTTTTTGTGCTTTTTTTTTTTTGACTTATATGCAAATAAGAAAAAATTTAATTCTCTAAAATTAGCATTCAATAATCATCTTCATTAAAAGCCAAAAGGAACAGTTCTTTACAACTTCATTATAAAAATATTCTTTTTTTTTTGCAGTTGAAGATCAAAATATAAAACCCATTATATTCTCTCTTGCCACTATTCCCAGGCTTGCCAAAAGTACATTGGATCCAAATCCAGGGCATTCTCAATCTTGTTCGAGGAAACCCACCCTGATCAATCATGTCTTCAGTGGTGGAGCAATATTCACCTTGCCTGGCCAATTCCGGGTTAGTGAGGTCATTTAACCTTTAATTAGAGGTTTTGAATTCAGATTTTTTCTCGTAGACTGGCTGCCACTCAAGACTATAGGACCCAGTCTGTCCTGCTATTTAACCCATAGCTGGGGGGAGAAGAGAAGAAATCATATCTTTCCCAAGAGTATTTGTACATAAGTAAATATAACACACTCAGATGGAATTCGAATTTGGCTCTCTGATTCCTCAATCCAAACTGTGATCTATTATGCCATTGTGCCTCCACAATAGTTCCATTCAGTTGTAATTTACCTGGATGTGTTTGTTTAGACATTATCCTGGTCAGGTAGGCTTTTTTTTAAGTTAGTGCATTCTAGGCTACTTTATTCAATACCTCAGGCACCAATTTTGTCACTTAGAGGTTACAAACATAAAACATCAGACTTTTTTAGTATTATATAGAAGAAGTGAAATGAGAATTTCATGGAGTGTTTTATATTCCATAAAATCTTCTGATTTGACAGCTTAATTTGTTGTCTGATGAAAAACTCTGGCTAAAGAAAATCATAGACTATGCCAGCAATTATTTATTTTCTGTCCCAACACTCGGCAAACAGACAAGATGGACTTCTACAAGGTTGTATGAAACTTTCGCTTAGATATTGGCATTGAATGTAGCCCTGCTCAAAGGAATTAATCATAAATTCTTAGAAAGAAATTATCATCAAGTTGAGGATGAATATATATTGTTGGTGTTTGTATCAATCTTATTAGACATAAATATCAGCAATAAAAGATTAGGACAACAGTCTTAAAAGATCTTTAGAATAAAGAAAAGACTTCCTCTCAGATTCATAAAATGTAGGAAGACCAAAGAATACATCAGCCACAACTAAAAAATGACTGCAGTGAAGGCAATACACTGAAAATACTTGGAATAAAAATGGTTGTAGTTTTGTTAATATATTCATATACGCATTTTCTAATCCTCTTAATGAGAATAACACAATTTCATGTCTCTTCATACAGAAAAACATTAAGTCACAACTAGAGCACTGGGTACATGTCGGATAAATTGGTTTGGTTTGGTTTATTTTGTTTAACGGCATATCAACCTCAATGGGTTATTTAATGTCGACAACATTTTCAGGATAGATTTGTATGAATAGAATATGTATTTTTTGCTTTAGATTGGTTTGCTTTATTTTGTTTTACAGCATATCAACCATAATGGGTTATTTAATGCTGACAAAATTTTTTATTGCTGGTAATATTTTGTTTTGTCAAAAATCTGTTTCTGGTAATATATTTCCTTCAAAATTGTATTTCTGGTAATAATTTGTTTCAAAAAAGTATTGCTGGTAATAGTTAGCTATTTTCCCATAGCTGGGACCCTAACAGGTGCTACCACCCAGGGTCAGGGTGGACCTGGAAACACCAGCAATTAAGAGGTGGTTCCACACTCCTCAAAACCTCCTGATCAGAGGCCTTGCTGCTGGACGTAGTTTAACGTCTTACCCAGGACGATCGAATAAATTGGGGAGCATACTAAATATTCTGATAAATGGTAGGGTCTGAAAATGAGTGGTATATAATAATATATACTTTGTCATAGATCTTCAGATCATACAGAAAGGCTGAAAATATATATATATATATATATATATATATATATTTATGTGTGTGCGTAAAAATTTCTCAGAATTAACCTGTAGGAAAAGACAATAGGAAAATTGCAGTTTTAGCCAACACATTTCATCCAATGTTTCGCTTTTCGCCTTGAAAAAGTCGACATTGAACAAAATGCGTCAGCTAAAACTGCAGTTTAACTATTGTCTTTTTTCCCTTATATATATTTCCCTTTTATACACACACATGCACATATATATATATATATATATATATATATATACACACACACACACAATATATATATAAATACATACATACTTTATAAAGGAAAATATATATAAAAGTCATATAATAAAAATAGTTTGTCTCTGAACTTCAGAACATACAGGAAAAGCTTAAGAATATTATATATAACAGTGCCATAAAATAAAATCATATTGGTGTTGGTCAAAACTACTTCTAGCACAGCCTATTCTATGTTCAATTTCCTTATCTCCTCTACTAAATATACAGAGCAATTACAAAAATTAATACACATATATATATACCAAAGTATATAACTGGTATATATGGAATGAATTCCAATAACTAAATAATTATATCTGCTCTACTTTGTATTGAGCACTCTTTTAAAAATAGTAATTGTTGGTTATTGGAATTCATTCCGTATATACCAATTATATACTTGGATATTAGCTCCTATTACTGCCGAGCCCTGTCTATTCTATTCAAAGGGCTTGATAAGACACCGAGGGTGTTGAAACAAAATGGCTATTTTTGTAGTGATTTTATAACATATTTATGTTATAAATTTTTTTTTTTATAAAAAATAATTATATATATATATATATATATATATATATGAATGACAATATATGTATATAGAAGATGACTGACAAGGTACTTGTACTAGGCTTTTTATTTTTTTTTTTTGTTGAAGAGAACATTTATTTATTGAAAAAAAGTTTGAACAAAGTAACTATAAACAATTTTTTTTGCTATCCTCTGCCAGCCACAATGATGGCAAAAGCATTACCTCAAGCCATCACTTTTTATTAAATTTTACTTGGATTATCTTCTTTTCTGGACATACAGTGTGTAAAAGCTGTCAAATGATCTATGGATACAAGAGCTAATGTAAGAAACACTATTAAGGACATTTACATTATATACATTGTTACATTTTTATGTTCAATTTCCTTATCACCTCTACTAAATTTGTTATAACTGATCCAACAAGTATTTGGTTTTTACTAATTCCACATACTGAATTTTTATGATGGATTCAGGGTACATGCCATTATGACTTTCATTCCAATTCCTGATCATAGTTTCTGTTTGAGAAAAGTTTAGTTTGAATCCTATTTCTTGAAAAACTTGGTAGAGGATGATGATTTATTTTTGTTCCCAATCATTTTTATCCCAACTGAAGACCTACATTGTCTGTATAGTCCTCTTCATTATCTGTACATTTGCTTTGGGAGAGAAAGCAGGCTTGCCATCTTTTATTAGTTGATTTGTTTGTGATAGGATATGGAATGTGGAAATGATCAGAGTCCATCTCTTCACATTTATGTTTGTAAATGCACACGGCATTGTCTAGGAAAAGATTAATCTAGACTGATGTTCTCACTTCCTCTGTGTCATACTCCTGATGAGGTTTGAAATCTTTCTGTATTGGTATCCTCAGTGGAAATGTAAGATTTTGTGGACTGATAATGAAAAGGCAGATAACAATGCTAATTCTTCATCTCCCTCCCCCAACACCACACATACACACACACACACACACAAAAAAAAAAAAAATTCCAACATAAATTCTGAATTCAAGGTACTCAAACAATTTGTAATAAAAACATAATGTATATATTACACATGGTTCACATTACGGAATATCAGTCGTTATTTTTGTTTTGTTTTTTTTTTTCATAGAAATGATTTTGGCTTTGTGAACATAAGAAAGAAACTGGGTGAAGAAAAGATGAAACTGTCCAAGATGGAGTTGTAAAATGAAAGAAGAAAACTTACGGTTCTCATGTTGAAAATTAATGTGTCACTGATTACCATTGGCCAGTACCTTGTCAGCCTTTCAAGCCGTTTCTTTGCTGCAAAAGAAAAGATGTCACTCCTTTATTACAAGATAGGAAGCAAGGCACAATCTTCATGTGATTATGTTTAGGTGGAGAAGAAAATAAAATGCCTGACAAGAATAAACTGAGACCGACTTTCACAGATACAAACAAGAAAGGAATATTCAAGTGCAAAGATTCATAATTTCAACTTAGATACTGTTATATTCCATGCTAATAGGATATATATATATATATATACTTGAAAAACAAGGTGGATAAAATAAGTAAAGGTTTATTGTAAAAAAACCAGTACAATAAGAATAAAGATAACCGTCATCACAAGTCAATCCAGTAGTGAGTGCTACTATTGGAAGGTCGGTAGTTCTCTAGTAAGTCTGAGTCGTACTCAAGATTCCAGCTAGTATATTTAGCTACCCCCCCATGAGGGTTGCATGTGGCACAAGGCCGGTTTAACATGGGTTCTCCAAGCCCGTAGGCTTGGCCAAAAATATTCCCTTTTTGAACACGCATAAACGGGTTCAGGGTCAGTCTACCTCCCCGAACAAGACTCTTCCCTTCGGCAGAGCCTCGTCCGGATTCCTCTCTGCCCGAAGGCAGAAAGTTCGACTGTTTAGCTGGAACAGATCCCAGCTAGTCTCTGTAGTCTGTTGACTTACAGATACTTATAGGTAGTTACTACCTATAGTGTAGTTACTCAGGGGGGTGACAGATTATTCCATTACAGCAGATACTTTCTTAGTTTAGTCATGCACAAGGCTACATTTACAAAGTATTTTGTGAATATCAAACAATTGTTCATAAAATTACATCAAAACCCATTCTGTAAAACAGAAATTAGTAAAATAGATTTACAAATCCATTAAAAAAATAATACACAAAGTTATGAACTATATATATATATATATATGACTGACACTATATCTATATAGATGACTGACAAGATACAGTAATTATGTTTTTATTTCTTGGACTCTCTTTTTTTTCTTGGTCATACAATGTGTGAAAGCTATCAAATGATCTATGGATACAAGAGCTTTCGACTAATCTATTAAACATTATTAACAATATCTTCATTATTTACATTGTTCAGACTGTAGTCTTCATCTTTATTATCATATTCATAATGTTTTGGCTCTTATAAGCTCTGGCCTTCTTCAAATGATATACATTGGAATTTTGAACCAAACTCTTTATTTCATCCACCAGAGTAGATTGTTCTAGTTTCCAAAGTATGCATGGCTCAGTGGATAAAAGCGTTGGTTGAAGTAATCCAATGACTTGACCCAAAGAGTTGTGAGTTCAATACCTGGCCACAGCAGTGGTGAACAAAAACTTGGAGTGTTGAGTTACTAAAGAGAAATAAATGAAACTTCGTACAATTTGAATACAGCAATATAGGAATTATCCATAGTTATATTTGTTCCAAGCACTTTCAGCTACTTCTCTAGCCATTATCAAGGATGTGTTTTTGGATCTTCAGATCTTCAGTCAATTTTGATCTTCAAAAATTTAAATGCAATGTCAATTGTTATCTTCTGTCTTCTTAATGCTTGTTTGTTTTGTTTTTTTATTGTTCTTTCTCCTTAACAGCTTTTTTTCTCATATTCTCTATCACTCAGTAACCTCTTGTGTCTTAGTGGCTTTATTCCTTGCTATAGGGAAAATGATTAAAAAAAATGTCTGCTGCTAGGAAAGTCAGTTTATTATGTCATGTTGGACAATTTTTCTTACCTAAATCTATCTTACACATTTATAAGGCTATCATTTATCTGTTTATTGAATATTTTTACTACATCTAGTCTGGTGCTTCTGCTCTGTATCTAGAGATTCTTGACAAAATCCAGAGAGAAAGATCTACAATATTACTGATCCTGATTTGGCATCTTACGGTTCAGTTATTTTCCCACTGATGTAATATAGCTTATGTTTTTAATAAATATTTTCATGGTAATTGTTCTGATGATCTTTGCTGCCTTAACTTTATAAATTTAAATGCAGTACTAGATTGCCAGTTAGGTCTCATAATTTCAGTGAGAAAATTGCTAAATGTAGCAGTTAAGTTCTAGATTAATAGTTTTTACTCCCGTACATCTCTGAATATTGATTTTTAAAGACTGGCAGTTCTTTGGAGCAATGCAATCTTCCTACTTGCATTGTGCTCCTCTATTTTACTGTTGTACTACACAAAATGAGGCTCAGTAAATCCTCAGTGAGGCTAGATGATATAAAAGAGGAAGACAATAAAAATAGAAAATTTTCAGTAAAAGATTAGATGGAGGATCCCAAAGAATGTCGATAGGAAGAAAGAAGAGGGAGGGAGGGAGGGAGAGAGAGAGTAAAGAAGAAGGTTTGAAAGTGAATGAAAGAAAAAAAAAACTGATGGGTGAGGGGGACAATTGATTTTGGTATTTAATGGTACATCAGTCCCTCCACCCCCTCCGCCCCTTATTTACATTACAAATTATCTATTATGGTGGTGTAGAATGAGGTTACAGTTTTCAACAAGGAAGTGGCCAAAGTTGGTTATATTCACTTTGCACTAATATAGTAGAAAATGGTCAGAATACACATCATCTCCCAGCTATGGACAAAAATCAGTACAAATGAAGCAATTTATCCCTTTAAAGGGAAGTCCAACTAAGAGGCGGTTAATCTGCCAGAAAAAAAAAAAAATGAACCCAAGCTCAGTTGAGAAATGAGGAAGGATGTACATCAGGTTAGCATAAATCTCCAATATATGAATACATTAATCAAAAAAAGAGAAAATCACTGTTTATATTTCTGAGATGAGGTATTATGTACACTATTTACATTATTCGGACTATTGTCCTCATATTTGTCACCATATTTATTACAATATTTCGGCTGTTGTACACTCAGGCCTTCTTCAGGTGGTTGGAATGTCAAACAGGAGATAACTGATATCCATTAAACATGGCATATAGAACTAGAACAATCTGCCCCTATGAGTGAAATAAAAGGTTCAGTTCAACATCCCAACCACCTGAAGAAGGCCGGAGCACACAACGGGCGAAACATTGTAAAAAGTATGGCGACAAAGATGAAAACAATAGTCAAAATAATGTAAATAGTGACAAATACATTGACCAAAATGCTGTCTTACTGGAATGATATCCTGGTAATGGTAAAATTAGCCATTTGCTTATAAGGAAACATGATATTCATTGAACAAGCTACCAGTGCCATTTTCAGTTTAAACTCACAGACAAATAAAGAAGGCTGAAGAGCAAAACTGCTAAAATGTTGGGACAATAAGAATGAAAATAAGGATATTAGTCTGACTGTAAATAACAAATTTGCCATTTTTTGATTACTAAAAATCAGATTTAATTTTGGAGGAGAATCTGCCAGAATGGTAAGTATATTACAAGATTTGGAAAATCCTTTTGAACCGATTCTCATTGTTCTTAACTTAGTAGGGACTAAATACAAACTGGGGAAAAGCAAAATGGTGTCAATCAAATCTTCAAAGGGGTTTTAATGGTCAGCATTCAAAATCCCAAATTGTATCTGGACTTAAACACAGACACCAGTAGAGGCAGATGAAAACTAAGCAATGATTTTGACAAGAAAGCTAGTCCAAATTTCCAACTTCACTCACTGAGAGAAAGTTACAAAAAACAAGTGCAGAAAATCAACAAAGATATAAAACAAACCTTTTAGTTGATTAAAGTAAAAAGTTGATAATATTTCAGTCATCGGAAGTCGATGACTGAGGCAAGTAAACTGCATTATATGTTCCAAAAGAGAAACGATTCAGAATTTGCCTTCTGAGAAAAGAAGAATAAAATGGAGTAAAAGTCAAATGGAATTTTGGGGAGACATACCTCTTTCAATCGGAAGAACTTCATCAATTGCTGGATTTGGTGAAATAGGAGTCAAACGGTTCTCTTTCATGAACTCTCCAAAATCCTGTAACAGAAAAATGCAGAAAGTGAATAAAAACATTTGAAAATTGCGATATGCTTTCAAGACATGAGAAATCATGGCTCTCTACAACTTCCCATCGTTTTTTTAACTATCTTTGTTTTCCAATTCATTCATTCAAACTTGTTTAATAAGTTACTCACAGCTCCCCACTGCTTATCTTGTCATCAATATATTCTGCAAAATATAAACTAAGTAATCATGACTCCCCACATTTTCCTGTCTTCTGTTATTCTAATTAATTTTGATCCCAATCCTATATTCCATTCACTCAAACTTTTTCAGTGTGTTACTCGCTGCTTCACCCTGCTTCTCTTGCCTTTAATATATAACATGAGGTTTAAGCTCTCTAGGTAGTCATGGCCCTCCACATCTTCCTGACTTTTGTTGTCTTAAGTAATTTTCATCCCTTATCACAAGTTTTTGTCCCTGTTCTACATTCCATTCACTCAAACTCCTTCAGTGGGTTACTCGCTGTTTCACCCTGCTTCTCTTGCTTTCAATATATCCTACTAATCTCTCTAGGCCCTTTTTTCGCATTATGCATGCCAAAAATTTCAACTCTTTTTTTTTTTAAAGTATCAAGCCTTTTTTTAGCTTGTCACTTGGAATAAATCTAAAATCTTTATTGTCTGAATATTTCAGTATACAAATTGGCAACTAAATTTCTGAAGTACTTATTCAGATTCAAGCCAATATTCACTGTAAATATTATTTCCTACACACTTCAACCAAAATAAAGCAGTATGAGTTCCATCATAAGTACATATTAAGAAAGTCTAAATGAGGCAAACTTTTTTTCTTCTTAAAAAAAAGAAAAGAAAAATCACTTATGCACCAGTGTATACTATTGAAGGGAAATAGTGTTCTTTTATTCTGGTTTGGTTTGTTGTGTTTTAAGGCATATCAACCTCATTATTTAATGCTGACAACTTTTTTTTCCTGGTAATATTTTTTCCCTCAAAAATGTATAGCTGGTAATATTATTTTAAAACATGTATTACTGGTAATGTTTTTTTTTTCTTCAAAAATTTATTTCTGGTAACAATTCTTTTACAAAGTATCTCTGATATTAAAACCCATTTTTACACTTTTATAATGCTTTTTATGTCAGTTTCAGGGTTAACTATTTGCCCATAGCTGGGACCCTAACATGTTCTACCACCCTGGGTCAAGGTGGACCTGGGAACACCAGCAATTAAGAGGTGGTTCCATGCTCCTCAAAAGTCCTGTCAGAGGCCTTGCTGTTGGACGTAGTTTATCGTCTTACCCAGGATGTGGATGTAGTTTATCATCATACCCAGGATGGTCTTTTATTCTGGTATACTACGGGAAGCAATAATTATTTTTTTTAAATCTTTTTATTGATCTTTTTTTAATAATATTTCTTTTAAATAAAGTTACTACAAACAAAACCTTGTTTTTGGAAAGTGAAACCTTGCCAAGTTACTGAGAGAAAGATTTTGTGCATTCTAAAATAAATTTTTCTCTTTGCAAAGTGTTTGAAATGTCTTCAAGTTCTTGAGGACCTGTGTTAGAGTGCATCATCAATGTTTTCGAAAGATTGCTTATCTGAAATTTTTTAAATGAAAAGATGACAGAAAGTGTGAAAACATACTTGCAGCTAATCAGCAGCAGAGTAACAAACAGAAAAAGCATTCTTTATTTTGTTAAAATTTCCACATTTATTCTCATCATGATGAGAATAAATGTGGACATTTTAACACGTTATCTCAATTGAGAAAAACTGAAAAACAAATCCAAAAAACAAGCTTGTCATTACTGATGAAAGGAATAATACCAAGCAATCATTTTTGCCTAATTTTTGAGATGAGAAATTATCAATATACTTTGTTTAAAATGAGGATTAAATCCGAAAATGATAAAATAGGGAACAAATATGAAGCATTTATAAATTTAACATCTCTCTATATTTCTGAGATGAGGTATTATGTATATTATTTACATTATTCAGACTATCATCCTCATCTTTGTTGCCATATTTATCACACCATTTCGGCCGTTGTACGCTCTGGCCTTCTTCAGGTGGTTGGAATGTTGAACTGAAGCCTTTATTTCGCTTGCTGGGGTAGACTGTTCTAGTTCCACGTGCCATGTCTAATGGACGTCAGTTATCAGTTATCTCCTGTTAATTTCCCTCCCCAAGTTCTCCACCGCCTTAACCAGGTTTTGAATTCACACTGAGTCCTGTCACTGGATCTGACTAACGCCTTTATCCCCTTTAGCATGAATTTGTCCACTATTTACATTATTTGGACTATTGTCCTCATCTTTGTTACCATAGTCTAAATAATGTAAATTTAACATGTTTCACTTTTATTTAAGATTTATCAGAATTTTTATGAAATAAGTTATAGAAGAGAAAGTTTTAGTATGTTAAATTCTGTCTTTTGATTTTCATAAGCCAGGGTTAGAGTTCATATGTTTTAGCTGACCAATGATAAACAACACAGAATTCAAAGTATTTCAATTTTTGCTTTTATAACTCATTTTCCCAAAAAATTGTCATGAATCTTAAATAAAAGTGAAATGCTAAATTTATAAACGTTTCCCATTTGTTTCTTATTCTATCATTGTTGGATTCAATCGATATTTGACTCCAATTCATACTTAGTTGAATTGGTATTCTTATTTTTGATTGTTATACAAGATTACAGCAAACTACCATCTCACCCCGGACAAGAGTCTAGTGGATTAAAACTTAGGTTCATGAATTCAGTTACATAAGTCATTGTGAGTTCAATCTCTGGGTCAAATAGTACAGACTCAGGCTAAGACTCTGAAAACAAAGCAAGCAATAACTGAACAGTGCTAAGAAGTACAACATGAGATGTTCCTAGATATGGACAGCAGAACAAGGAATAATTTACCCTGTAAATTAAATAAAGGATTCAGTTCAAAATTATCTGAAGGTTACCTGAATCGTTATACATATGAAGAAAAACAGATGTCACAATAACCGAAAGGTGATCATAACAGTGAAGATGAGAACAATAGACTGACTGAAAATATTCTCTCCGTTATTTTGGGGATAAGAAGCTATAACTACTTCTACTTTTCATATGCAAATTATTATATCTTTATTGTGGTTATGACAGTGTTTCAACCATTGTGCTTTCTGGCCTTCATCAGTCATTCAGAAGTGAAAATACTGGACAAGGAAGAACCATTGAAAGAATCAGTGCATACACTAGGATATAAGTACCTCATTAGTAGGTCTAGTATAGAAATAAATGCAATATGGAAGCCGCAAATAAAGAAGGAAAGACAACTACAGCAGGTATTCAACAGCAGCAGCAGCTATAACGAGAGAAAAGCTTCAGTGAGTGTAGTCAAGCATGGCAAGCAACAGCACTCATCAGCAGGCAGGTTAGGTTTAAGGCTCCAAGTTCTCCACAGAAAATTGTCCTATTGGACACAAACCTAGTAGATTAAAGTTTCTTGACATAGTAATTCTGAGTTCAATCAGAATGTGCTGGGCAGTGTGCTTGGACTAAGTGGAAATGAGGCTAGTAATACTAAAAATGAAAACTAGATTAGATATTCCCTAGACATGGGCAGAGGAACTGGAATTTTAGATTAAATAAAATTCCACGATGGTTATCCAGATCAACATACACTTGATGAAAAACCAGATGTGACACAACAGCTAAAATGCTGTGATAACAACAAAGATGAGGACAATAGTCTGCATGTAAATAATGATAATTCCTCATACTCAAAATTCATACAGAAATTATGTTCATGTAAAGAAAGACATGGCAGCAAGTCTTCAGCAGCAGCAGCAGTAACAAGAGAGAAAATCTTCAGTTAAGCATGGCAAGCAGCAGCACTCATCAGCAGGCAGGTTAGGTTTAAGATTAGTTGATGTCAATTTCATTCTCCTAACAATCCAGACAGTAAGCTGTCCAAAATTATGTGTAAATCTATCTGTGTGATCAATTGAAATTTTTAAGTGCAAAGTCTTGCAAAATTACATCACTTTTATGATTGTTATTTGATTGATTCATTCATTTTTTATGGCTTATCAACACTTATTTAAAGAAAGAAAATATTTTTAGATGGTAAGAATTTGTTTTTGAGAAAAATATTGATTTATTGAATAATTAACCCATAGTTGTGAGGAGACGAGTGGATTCATAGCTTTCAGGAGTTTGTGAGTAAGTAAATATACCAAATGTACACTATTTACATTATTCGGACTATTGTCCTCATCTTTGTTGCCATATTTATTACAACGTTTCAGCCGTGGTACGCTCTGGCCTTCTTCAGGTGGTTGGAATGTTGAACTGAACCCTTTATTTTGTTCACTAGGGTAGACTGTTCTCAAGGACATATGGCACAGTGGATAAAGGCGTTAGATAATGGATAAAGACATCCATTAAACATGGCATGCGTGGAACTAGAACAGTCTACCCCAGTCAGTGAAATAAAGGGTTCAGTTCAACATTCCAACCATCTGAAGAAGGCCAGAGCGTACAACGGCTGAAACGTTGTAATAAATATGGCAACAAATATGAGGACAATAGTCCGAATAATGTAAATAGTGTACATAATACCTCATCTCAGAAATATAGCCAAATACCAAACCTAACTGGAATTGTAACTCAGCTCTCCAATTAATAATTCTGAGTTATTATCCATTACACCACCTGCACATCCAAGCTTACAGCACCTGGTATTCCCAAGGTATTGACCAGACTTGATGCAACTTAACTTTGGTAATTGTATGGGAATCAGTGTTTGAATGTGATGTCACCAAAAGTCTTTTATGATTGTTGCTTATCTTGTAAAGAGATGGCTTCATTTTACACATAATGCAAGATTTAAATACTGAGATAAGCAAAAGTAATAATGATAATTTAAATAGATATAGAAAATTTGTTGTGGGCCGCTGTTAACAACTTTATCAAACTTTTCCATGTGTGAATATTTATAAGTTACAGCATTGCATATCTCACTAATTTGAGTCTTTTGACAGATGAAGCTACACTCTACAAACATTACTGCTTATATCCATTGCGAATTCCTCTTAATCTGTTCATATGTCTTTTGTAAAGAATCTATTCAAATATATATTGTCTGATCACTTTACAATAATGCTGCTTTTAAAGGCATGAATCTACTTTTCCCTATGAAGTGCCCCAAGACCAGCTATGTGGACAAAGTTCTCATTATTAACTTGCCACAATGATTCCTGAAAATAGACAGGCTGAGGAAGCCCCACCTTAGCCCAAGCAACAGCAGCAAATAGTTGATAGCCTCTTAGGCAATCAGGAGAAGATCCAATCCATAATTCTTTGGTCAGATATTCCATTCCTGAAGTAAATATGCAACACTGAACACTTAAAAGCATTTATTTCATTGAATATGACAGACAAGGTGCTTGCATTTAGTTTTTTATATAATTTCTGATGTGATTTGACACAAAGGCTTGCATAACACCTTTCTGACCAAAACTCAATTAGATCTCATTTAAATACTCACAGAGACCTACCAGACACTATTCTTAACATACTTGTTAACAACACAAATATAATAGTATCATTACTTGCAAAAAAAAGGCTAAAAATAATGGAAGCCTTATTAATAAAAACAAAAAAACAACGCTCAGTAATATCAAATGTGAACATGGACACAATATCATGACCGTATTTTGAAAATGAAAACATTTTATAAATACATGCATACAATCTATTTCTTGTTAACATTTAATATATTTCAACCTTGAAAATGGCTAAATGTATAGCTGAAAGTGCTTGGATAAAAAGAATAATTGGACAGGTTTTATATAATTTATCATCCAAAAAGAAAAAATTATTTGATCACATGCGAAATTGTATAGAAAACTAAATCAAATCACCTTGTCTGTCATATTCAATGAAATGCGCATGAAAGAAGGAATGCTGCCTAAATACACAAATATATATATATATATATATATGTGTGTGTGTGTGTGTGTGTAAAAAAAAAGAAAAAGAACTCATTAGGTAAATAATCCAAAGTTCTTTAGTATTTTTGTTATTATTTTTAAAAAATAGTGCTTGATACAAAAGTAGAGCATAAATATAATTATTTATTTAAAAATATGATTCCAACGCTACATAAGAGTTCTCATGTTTCAAAACAAGAGCCGAAAACTTCAATATAATTATTTGAATTAAATTGAATTAAAATACCAAGCTCTGTTCCATCTTCAAGAGAAATTTTTTTGAATAACTAATTCCTGAAATTTACGCGTTTTATAAGCATATTCATTACAAATTATTAACCCTTACGTCCCTTTTTTTTTTAAATAATTGTTCTAGCCGTTACCATAGTAATTTTAATTTTAATAATATATATATATATACACACACACATAAATATAAAAGTTAACACTGGAGTCAAAACTTAGAGAGGACAGAGAGTTTCATGCTAGACACGATCGTCAGGCCACTATATATACAGGTCAGTGGTGCATTGTGGCTAGTCCATTCTGGCAATTATTTTGGTGGGAGTGGTTTGTTTATTTATTTGTATTTTAATTATATATATATATATATATATATATAATATGTATAGTCACATTGATGAGCTGTGATACATGACTATGTATGTATATATATATATATATATATATATATATATATATATATATATATAATAGCTGGCCACTTGTATTTGAAGATAGAGACATCTATTAGGGTAGTTAACCAATTCCTATTGCAGATGCTCGCTCAGGCACATTTTGTGCTTGTTCAACACTCACATAGCAAACCCGTAGTTTATACTGCAACTATGCTGAGCGTAATCAACAATCTGAAATGATTTGTGACTTTGTGCTAGCACAGCTACTGACGGCTCCCAAAAGTTCTGTCTACCAAATTTCATTCACAAGTCTTGGGCCAACCCATGGTATGGTTTTCAGGCACTTCCCAAAGGTGCCAAACACTGGGATCACTCCCCACCCCCCGCCAAACACACACACCTCCAGACCAATAACATCAGGAAGTCTACTTACTGACAAATCAACCGTGATGAGATTTGAACCCGGATCTCATGGTCAGAAAGTGAATGTTCTAACCACTCAGTCATTTTGCCCATATATATATATATATATATATATATATCTCATTTTGCTCATTTAATCAGATTTTGGGAATTGCATAAAACTTAAATTTTCATCATCCACTATAGAAGTTCATTCCTCAGTTTTTTTTACACACAAACACATCTGCGTGTATGTGTGTGTGTGGTATGAATAGACTTTATTTAACCAGATGCATTTCAAAACAAAAACAATCTATGTCCACAGGGTGTGGAGAAGATTAAACAAAGCGTAACAGAATGAAGAATTATGCTATGGAACCATTAAGAAGATAAAAAACAAAAACAGCAAAGAAATAATAAAAGCTGAAAAACAAAAGAAAGTACTATATCCCATGATTGGTTGATGAATTGACCAAAAACAGAAGGAGATGCCTTAAGAAATATTGTTTCAGAAAGAAATGCTTTAAAAAAAAATACAGAATTGTCTAACTTATATAAATTTACAGAAAAATTCTTTTCACTTAAAAACAAATGACAGATTTGAGGAATTAAAAATATAACTTTTTTTACTGTCAGATAAACATGCAATCTTAATGTAAATATTTAAGAACAAAGTGAAATTTCTTAGAGAAACATGTCATCTTTCATCAGGCTGGTTGATGCTACCCTAAAGACCTTTCTAGGCTAACGTTTTCTGCAACATGATGTGCAATGATTATATTGAATTGATTCGTATATCCTATGTGTGCTGATAGCAAAGTTGGTTCACTGTGTCATGCTAGACAATTTTTCACACCAGAATCTATTTTACATCTGAAGAAGCCCAGGAGACAGAACAGCTGAAACATTGTCATAACAACAACAAAGGTAAGGACAATAGCAGAAATCCACATTGATTATTTTCTTCATGAAGGCATTCATTTAGTTTCATGCTAGAATCCATTGACACAAGAAAAGCATACGTTATCAAAGTTTGTAACAAGAATTTATGACATGTTTTTATAGGGGTACAAAGTTCTACTACAGCAATAAAAACAGACATATTAAAAGAACATTCATAATAAAAATATACATATTACCATAAATTGGTAAAACCAAAACATAACGATTAAAACAGCTAAACCAATCCTCTCTCATCAGAGCAAAAATCAAGAACAAAAATGTGTACAGTGACTAAAATATGTACAACTCCAGACTAATGCTAAGTATATATAATATTAAAAGCTAATTACCTTTAAGCTCACAAACCACTCCTTTTGTTTACAGAGAGATGGTTGGTAGGACTTAATATATACGGCTTACAAAACTTTCAGGTGATAATCAGTATCAAACTTACTCAGCATATCCAAGCTATAAGCCCAAGCACACTGCTTATTTTTAATCAAATGTTCAGCTATCACTGAACTTGATAGATTAACACACTTATGTAAATTGCTTACGTTTTCCTCGTGCATATTGGCTGGAAAGTGTTGCTTAATCTGTGCCTCCAACCTTTGATCTGTTCTGTGAACAGTGTCATCATTGCACTGACATCTGAATTTGGGAATTAATATGATGGGGAGGTAGAAGATCCTTCCAGATCAGTCTCAACATAGGTTGGTTATCAAAACAATACATAAATTGGTGAAATAATAACAATTTCTTACACCAAGTTAAATTTTCTTAGTAAATTTCACACTCAACTCACTAATTCATGGTAAATGCAAATAGCCAGGATATATCTGGAGACACATTGCCTTAAGTTTACAAAATTCTTACATTTTTTTTCTCTAATGAAGAGTGCAAAGACTTAATCGATTGAAATCTTGTTTGTGTTTTTTATCTGCTGTGACTCTTCAGGTCCTGAATGGTTAAGACTCTCCATATCTTCCTATCCTTTGTATCTCTAAGCAATTTTTGGCTTCATACTATACCTTCTAATATATGCTCTGCCATCTATTTACACAAGATTGGTATTTGTATGTCTTGTTAGTGTCATATTCTCTAAGCCCTCTTTCTAATTCTAAGTATGGTTTTGGTTTTTCTTTATAAGAAAAACTGACTGAAAATATTTGCCTTGAAATTGTTTGATTTTTTTTAGATTCCTTACATGACTGTGTGTAAATAGCCAAGAGGTGCATTTATAATACGTATTTATTTCTTCTTCATCTATGCATTGTGTCCCTTCAGCACATGACTCCTATTCTTTGTAGCTTTTAGAAACTGTTTTTTCTTGCCCTCCCCAGTCCCTGTTCTGTCATGCATTTATACATACTTGTTAGGTAGGTTTGATCATAGCTCTTCACAACTTCCTATCCTTTGTTGTTTAGTAATGTTTGTCTTTTCTCTATCCTTCCCAGTTCCTGTTCTGCAATTCATTTACACAAGCTTGTTAGGTAGGCTGATCATGTCTCTTCACAACTTCCCGTTTTTTGTAGCTTTTAGAAATTTTTTCCTATTCTTCCCAGTCACTGTTCTACCATGCTTTTGAACAGGTGGCTCATTAGGCACGTTACTTGCTTTTTTCTTCTGTCCCTTCTTGCCTTCCATATGTCCCGTGAGTGTCAAATACTATATGCTCTCTTTTCTTATTATGCATCTGAGAAATTTCATCTGCCTCTGATTCTCGCTGTAGGCATTCTTTTTGTTTTGATTTTTCTTAAAACTTCCTTATTGTTTATATATTCCATCCATGTTATTCTCATCATCCTTCTGTAGAACTACATCTCAGATCTCCTTTACGTCAGTGAATAATGCTATATGAGAGGGACCAGTTGGAATGCAATGTTGAAAAGAGTTATTAAGAAAAGAATCAACTCGGGGAATATGGTTAAGCCTCTTTGATTGCTAATGTTTCAATTCTCAACACTTACCGTTATTCGATAATCAGTGACTCGACCACCACTTCCCTCACTGATTGAAGGTGGATCTTCAAGGATAGAACGGGAAATGGAGAGTGTGTGGATGAAGATTTCACCCCCGTGACTAGCCAGCATGTGAGAGATCACTTTGGTTCCTGATTTCCGTGGTTGTTCCAGCATAACGGCTCGGCCTGTCAAAGAAAAGAGATATTTACAGATCAAAATAGAAATACAGATAAATCCACAGCCATTAAAAACTTGTTTTTTAAGTGCAGAAAAAGACTTTAGAAAAAGCGAACGCTGAAAGTCTTGTAAAAATTAATACATTTAAATGAAAAAATCAGATACACTATTATAAATACTTGATAATGTTTTATTGAAATGACATAAATGTAAAAAAAAAATATAACTACTTTTAACATGAAAAAAAGACATTGTAGGTTCCGATGGACAAAATAATTTTTGAGTAAAAAATGACAAGATCAAGAAATTCAGTTTTCAAACTATCCTCAGTTCAAAGAAATTTATTCTTAAAAAAAGCAAACAAACAAGGAATTCACAATAGAATTAGCAAGGCTTAACTAATTGTTGTGAAGTACTAAGTTCTTTGAGTTACTACTCAATGCTTGTGTGTAGTTATATAGCCTCGGTATTCCAGATATGTTAATTAGTTAATCTACATATTGGGGACACTGAGTAAAAGCAAGTTTTAGATAACAATCTGAAAAATAAGGAGGGATATAGTTGCCAAAAACAAGTAAAATGGAGAAAGAACTAAAGAAAAAAAAATGAAGTGTGTGAGAGGGGGAAGATGAAGTAGAAAGAAGAGAAGAGTGAGAATTATAAGAAAAGAAACAAGAGAATACATTCAACTCAGAAGAGGAGAAGAAAAGAGAAGAAGAGAAAAAAAGAAAAGAGAGAGATGAGAAGATGAAGTAGAAAGAAGAGAAGAGTGAGAATTATGAGAAAAGAAACAAAAATGTGTTCAACTCAGTCAAGGAGAGAAGGAGAAGAAAAGTAGAAAAGAGAAGAAGAGAAAAAGGAAAAGAGAGAGAGTGGGAAGATGAACAATAAAGAGAAATGTGAGAGTTACAATAACCAGAACAGAGAAAGAATTTAATTCAATAAAGGAGTAGAGGAGAAGATGAGAGAGAGGAAATAAAGAAACTGAGTTGACAAAAGGAAGAAGTAGAAAGATAAGAAAAGGAGAGAGAGAGAGTTGGTTGTTTTTGTTTTAGTGGCATATCAACTCCTTTATGGCTTATTTAATGCAGAAATTTAAATATGAAAATTTAAACTTTATAATTAGTTCAAGAGAATGACATTATTTCAGGATTAAATTATAATTACTTAGCTGCATTTTTTTAAAATAATAATCTTACAAAATCAAAAGAGTAGGGAAAATTATTTTCTCCTTACAAGAAATAAGATTAATCATAGCAATTTTTTTATTTATTTTTTGTTTTGGCCAATGCATACCAGGTTTTTAATTTTTATTGAAAAATGTATTGTTGGGAATTTTGACTATAAAAATGTATTTTTATACTTTCCTAGTGTTTTCATTTTTTTTTTTTTTTTTTGGGGGGGGGCATTATTTGTTCATATCTGGGACTCTAACAGGTGCTACCACCCCAGGTCAGGATAGACCTTGGAACAACTGCAATTAAGAGGCCTTGTACCTGATGTAGTTTATCATCATACCCAGGATGTGTGAGAGAGAGAGAGAGAGAGAAAGATACAAACAGACTGGCACATCATGTAAAGAATAATGAGGCAGAGGACAACCAAATAAATAAATCAATCGTCAATTGAAAAGAAAGAAACAGGGTAAAAATGACACTGTTGGTTTGGTTTGTTTTATGGCATATCAATCTTAATGGGTTATTTAATAAGATTTTTATTGCTGGTAATATTTTTTTCTAAAAGTATTTCTGGTAACATTTTTTCCACTAAAGTATTGCTAGTAATAATGTATTACTGCTAATAAAAAAATTATTGCTCGTAATATTTTTTAGAAAAATGTATTGCTGGCATTAAAACAAATTTTTACACATTCTGACCCCAGTTTTGGGGTTAACTATTTGCCAATAGCTGAGACCCTAACAGGTGCTACCACTCCAAGTCAGGGTGGACCTGGGAACACCAGCAATTAAGAGGTGGTTCTATGCTCCTCAAAACCTCCTGATCAGAAGCCTTGTTGTCGGATGTAGTTTATCATCATACCCAGGACACAATGCTGTTAGTATAAAACATTGATTTTGTCAGAAGACAAAACAATAACAACAATTGAAGATGAAGGGATTTTTCAGGATGCAATTTCACTTCAACTCACTTAAATGTTGCATAAAGGAGCCTTTATTTTGTTACTAATCTATCACCTATTTATTGATTTAATATTTTATTACTTAAATGTTATTTTTAGTGGATACCCCTTATTTGAGTAGACACTCCATTTATTTATTAAACACTATATTTGTTTATTTTTGTCTACTAGCTTGAATATTTCAGAAATCTCATTAAAGAAAAATATGCAATCTCCGGTAGGACTTGAACCTGCATTGCCATGGGCAGGAGAAACCATTGTTAGATTTTATGTGCTTTAGTTGTCTCGGCCACAAAGTACGTCAATCATCAAGCAAAGCAGAATAGTGTCCTTTAAATGAAAACCTTTCCTGGACTCTCAAAATATAAATATCGGTTCAGTTTTGCATCCTAATGTAAACGTAAGCAATTCCTAAAGAAGTCATGGATTTTTATTTAATAATCTTGAGATTTTATTACTTAAACATTATTTTTTAGTGGATACCCATTTGTGTATATGCACTGTTTATTTATTAAACAGTATATTTATTTATTTTGGGCTACTGTTCTGAAAATTCGAGAAATCTTATTAAAAAAAATATGCACTCTCTAACAGGATTCGAACCTGTGTACCCCAGGATAGGTATCCACTAAAAATAAAATCATTTCTTTAGAAATAGATTTAATATTATAATTATTTACAAATACTATCATTTTGCTTAATTATAGTTAATTATTATTAAAATATCATTACAAGTGTGCCACTATGGCTAATGGAATAGAATGCAAACAGGTCAAAGATTCTTTTCTTTCCTGTTTATTCCTCTTATATTCTTTAAAAAAAAAAAAAAAAAATCAGGGAAATTACTAATTAGCAGTTAATGAACTTGGATTTATCTCCCTTGAGCATACATTTCTTTGTTTTTGACAATGTGTGTTTACAGCAAAACTTCAATTTAAGGAATATTAGATGTTCATTACTGTATAGATTTATGAAATTAAAAATTGAGAAACTACAAAATATTTTGGCCTGATTTTCTGAGATCATTATTATTAATGCTTTATATTCAGACTATTGTCCTCATCTTTGTTGTTTTTATCACAACATTTTGACCAGTTTGCCTCCTAGACTTCCTCAGGTGTATCCAGATTGATATACACCTGAGGAAGGCCAAAAGGCACATTAGCCAAAACCTTGTGATAAAAACAACAAAGATGAGGACAATAGTCTGAGTGTAGATATTGTAAAATATGTTGGATAAATGCTGATTTCCTTAAATTTTGTTAGTGAAAAAACTGATAGGATTTATTTATGCATGAATTCTTGAACTCTTTTTAAACTTTGATTTACAAAGTAGATGACATCTACAGCACTATTTCCAAAAGACCTGTTAGTATGAACAAAGAAAGGTATGTACAATTGTTTGATATTTTATACAATTTCACATAACACTGGTCATCTGCAAGCTGTCATGAATTTGACAAAAAAATGTTCTTTAAATGTTGTGATCTACAGAACTTGTGAAATGAGGGATTTATCAGATTTAAAAAACGCACTTTAACACATTAGTTCTTTAAATCAAGATTTTATTTTAATTAAAAAAAATAGTCAAATGAATTTATGCATTTATTTTCCAAGCAGAAGCATTTTAATGGTATAGTATTAACAAAATATATGCTACGATGTGCTATTTTTGCTGTGTTCTGGTATCAAACACAGAAATCAGATCTAATAGCTGTGTGCAATAAAGCACATTCATTTATGAATTAGTTTTATAATGTATTAAAACAAATTCAAAAGTTGCCTTTTCACAAAGAAAAAATAAGCTTTATTGATCAGTGTATCAATATGCTTATTTATCCATTTCCACAAGACTATTTCCCCATTTAGTATACTTACCAATCTGAAATGCTAGACAAACAGTATCAATCTAATTTGTACTCTATTCATTGCAAGTTTAATGGCTTGTTACACATCTAGCTATTGGGCCATGGCAATCAGTTAATACCTACAACTATCCCATATCTGTTTATAGCCGAGTCTGTTAATATTAACCTCTCCTTGTGAGTTTATCGATTTATCCAAGTTTATTCCTTTGTCTATTTATCGAATGCTCTATTCATTTCTATTTATCCCTGGGTCTGCTTATATCTTTTGATCTTCCTAGACATATTTAGTTCAGTTTGTTTTATTCATCTGCTTATGTTTGGTTTGTTTCTATCTACATGTTCACGTGTGTGTGTGGTCATATATACAGGGTGCGATTGGTAAATTTTCGCCATTTTATATTTTTAAGGTCACGTGTGTGTGTTTGTTTTTGATTTTGCTGGCTTCACAGCCAGGGTCAGTTGGGCACCATCTGTGAGAAAAAGAGCATCATGACGCAATTCACTCCACTAGAAATTTGGAAACTGCATGCTGTACTGCTTGGCATTTGCACCAGAAGCTCAAATCTGAACATTTCAGTGTTTGGGTATCAATCTGAGGATAGTGCAGAGGATTCGGAAAGAGATGAGTCTAGTGGTGATTACAAATGTTTAATGTTACATATGTGTGTTGTTCGTTTTTGATTTTGTTGACTGCACAATATAGTAGGGTCAGTTGGGTACCGTCTGGGAGTAAAAGAGCACCATGACACAATTCACTCTGCCAGAAATTTGGAAATGAAATTCTGTACTGCTTGGCATTTGCACTTGAAGCATGAACATGAACATTTAAGAGGGTTTGAGTATCAATCTGAGGATAGTGCAGAGGATTCCGAAAGAAATGGATGAGTCTAATGCTGATTACGAAGCAGTTTGGGGTGATCATTAGTGATGGCGATGTTATGTCTCCATTAATCTTCCTTCATGGAAGCCTACATTCAGTGCCTTGAGGA